ACAGGAGGCTCCTGAGACCTCACTGGCCAGTTAGTCTAGCGATGTGGCAAGCTCCAGATTAAGTGAGAGGCCATGTCTCAAAAAATAAGGTGGAAAACAATAGAGAGGACACCACATGTAAACCTCTGACCTCCAGATATGTATGATGAACAGGTGGGTGCACCTGTCCACATAAAAACGGGGTATGTAGTAATGAAGTAGAGAATAAAAATAACTCAGAGTGAAACAGTGCTGCTAAAGTAGTAGATTGACTGTAAAACCTATCAAAGGTGACAGAATGCTAGCAAGATTAATCAAAGAAAAAATCAACAAGATCTGGGGTAAAAATGGGGTGTGACTATAGATGTTTCAAGAAAGATCAATTACTGATAGTTAATAGATTAATGTAAGTTAATATAACTGAATGTCTATGTCAAAAGGACATATTTGGGCAAACTAGTAGAAAATTGAAGACTGGGAACTGGGCAGGAAGAGGTGAAGTAACTTTATAACTGTTCAGCTAGGAAAGGAGCCTAAGCCTGGGGTGGCAAGAACAAAGGAACTCAGGGACTGGAACTCCCGGTTGTGTGGAAATGAAGGCAGAAGGGGGAAATAAAATATTGGACTTTATATTTTTTGAGGTAAGATTGTTTGAAGTGATGACAAAAGTCAGATCTTGGGAAAGGAAAACAAGGTGCTCTAGAGGTATCTTTGTAGACACTGGAAACTCCTAAGAATAGAATCAGAATTTGATTAGAGAGGAACATCTTGATCCAGGCCTCAGGAATTTATTTAATTGCAGATGTATAGATAAGGAACAGGGGAGCATAAAATGCATGTCTCATTTTCTTTCTGTGAGTTCTAACTTTTTTGAACATAGGTTGATGTTAATTGGATCTGGCTTGCAAAAAGACTGAAATAAACTGAGTTTGATATTATTTATTCCCACTTATAAATAAAATGGCCATAATAATTTAAAAATATTCAGAATCTAAATATGTGAGTTTTTAAATTTACCCGATAAGCCAACCTTACATGAAATACAAATTTTGAATGTTACGTTTCACATACACACAAACCTAAACCAAAAAATGTATCTCATTTTTTCAAATAGTAATAGAGCAGAACTTTTGTGTGTGGCAGCACACCTCACCCATTTGACTGATGACTGCTGGGTACATTTCTCAAAGATGGAAACAAGCTTTTGTTCTTCCATACCATTAGCACCTGCCCACTGAACCATCATTTGTTCCCGAAACCCTTGCTGTCCTATCTGTCGAGTTGCAGTCCCTTGGCCTTGTTAACAGTGCCAGGTGTAGGTTCTACCTCACAAAGTGGGCCTTAGGTCCACTCAGAAAATGGTTGTTTACTCCCATAATGAAGAATCTTTCTTAAAATAGATTTTGTAAATATTAATTTAAATTAATGAGAAGCATTACCTTTCTAGATAAGATCTGCTAGTTTCTACCAGAAAAAATTGCTACGATTCAAGAATTAAGTGAGGGTTCGGAGCTGTGATGAGAGGTAAGGGGTTGGCACAGATTGGTTGGAGATGTGTGAGGTGAGGTGTTGGGGCAGTGTGAGGTGAGGGTGTGTGTGAGGTGAGGTGTTGGGGCAGTGTGAGGTGAGGGTGTGTGTGAGGTGAGGTGTTGGGGCAGCGTGAGGTGAGGGTGTTTGTGAGGTGAGGGTGTATGTGAAATGAGGTGTTGGGGCAGTGTGAGGTGAGTTGTTGGAGCAGTGTGAGGTAAGTTGTTGGGGCAGTGTGAGGTAAGTTGTTGGAGCAGTATAAGGTGAGGGGTTGGGGCAGTGTGAGGTGAGGGTGTGTGTGAGGTGAGGGGTTGGGTGAGGTGAGGGGTTGGGGCAGTGTGAGGTGAGGGTGTGTGTTAGGTGAGGGGTTGGGGCAGTGTAGGTGAGGGTGTGTGTGAGGTGAGGGGTTGGGACAATGTGGGGTGAGGTGTTGGGACAGTGTGAGGTGAGTTGTTGGGGCAGTGTGAGGTAAGTTGTTGGAGCAGTATAAGGTGAGGTGTTGGGGCAGTGTGAGGTAAGTTGTTGGAGCAGTATAAGGTGAGGTGTTGGGGCAGTGTGAGGTGAGGGTGTGTGTGAGGTGAAGGGTTGGGGCAGTGTGGTGTGAGGGGTTGGGGCAGAGTGAGGTGAGGAGTTAGAGGTGTGTGAAGTGAGGGGTTGGGGCAGAGGTCGGCCTTAAATAGATGTGCTATCCAAATGTTCATAGCTATTTCCGCATCTGCATTTTTTGTCATTTAGTGTTTCATTTTCAGGGGTCTTATATCACTCCATAGATTAGGAACTACATTGAGTTGAAGAGTAAAGTATGTATATTTTGAGAAATGATAACAGATTGGGTTGTATTGTAAAGTCCTTTTAAAGCTATTTAAGATGGAAACATTAATTTTACCTTTAAGAATTGCTTTTGTGACAACATTTGGGTGACCTAGAATTGTTTTTCTTCTCTAGATTTGTTGCATACTTTAGATATATGGTTAATATTGATTTTGGTGCTCTGCTTTGTCCGCCAGCACACTATTTTCCAGAAGCTTGTCATCTTACTAACAGTATCAAGACCAAAGCAAGCCAGGTTACTCCACGAGGCTCCTTTTCTCTATGGAGGAGCATGGGGAGCCTGCCATCAAAGCAGTAGGTGGCAGTGGTCAGAAAGGAGGGTGATTAAAAGAAATTCATTAGCAGAGACAGCTCATTCTATTCATGAGATACTCACGTTTTCTGCATTCCCAGAGTTTGGCAGTACTGGAAAAATTAGGCTTCCCTAAGCTCAGATCTATGGACAAAGACACATTCTTTTACTCTGACTTGGTACCGTTGAGGAAAATGTAAGGTAGAGACATGAAGCAAAGATTTTTAAGTGGGAAAGAACTTTAAAATTCATTTAGTATGAGTTTCCTTATAGAGAGGACCAAGAGTACCAGAACATTATGTGTTCTGCCTTAGAAGCAGAAGCTGCTGCTTCTGGGCTACATTTATTTGGTTATCAGAGGGGCAGTCACTGTTGGGGACCATATACAGAAGAGCTACTAGTTGTTTCCTCTGCGGTATGTACACTGCACCCACCATCCCATGTCAGCAGAAAAGCACTACCAGTATCTGTGTGGAAGATGCTGACCTCTGTACAGACATAGTCAGAAGAAATTTCTCACTGACTTGGGTGTTCCAGCTACTCACAGGTTATTTCTAGTCAATAGTTGCCTTTCAGAACTCTAGTTACAGAGTAGTAATGTATGTCTGAAAGCTGGTGTGCAGAAACCTTTAACACCCAGAAGCCTGAGGGAAACACATTGCCTTCACAAGTCACTTTAGCAGATGCCTTAGCTGTTTGTATGACACATAATGTTTCTTTTAGTTACTTTTAAACTTTATTAGTATTAGTGTGTTGTGTGGGTGTGTGCATGCCGTGGCACACATGTGGAGGGCAACAAACAACTTTGTGGTGTTGGTTCTCCCCTTCACCTTCATGAAGGCTCCAGGGATTAAAGTTGGGTTGTCAGGCTTCTGTGGTAATCCCCTTTACCTGCTGAGTCATGTCACCAGTCCCTAGTATTTCTTTTAACAAACAATAAATACATAAGTGAAACTTGAGAGTCTAGTTTATTTTTCTTTTTGAAGTAAAATTTGCATCTTAGTGTACTCATTATGTCTTGGGGAAGTGAAGAACGGAGCACTTATTGAAGAGTACAATGAAAAGTAGAAAAATAACTTGTTATAAAAATAACCTGTCTTCACTGCCTTTTAATGTATTTTCTTTCTAAAGTGCAAAGGGAATTTAATAAATCTTGTTAGGTTGCACACATACCATTCGAGCCTTAAAAGCATAATCATGCATGTTTAATAAGTTATCATTCTCAGAATGTGTTCTGTTGAATCAGCCTTTTCTTGGGAGTTAGGTGAGCTTTGCAGGTTTCTAGGGTGTGAGCTCTGTAGCACCTCAGGATAGCTAACCCTTGACAAGTCAGGTGTCATGCTTTACGTGAGAGTATTTCTCACACTCAGTGTCTCCCCACTTCTTTTTCTCCAGGCTCTCAGTACTTATCTTTGATTGGCCTTGAACTCTATATAGACAGGATGGCCTTGAATTCAGAGATCCACCTGCTGTTGCCTCCTAGGAGCTGGGATTAAAGGCATTCACCACCATGCCTGGGGTGCACGTTTCTACATCACCTTGTAGAGATTTCTGTTCTTCTGGTACAGTACAGTTCAGCCGTGATAGTGCAGACCTAAATCTGTCTCAGATGTAGGAAACTTACTGTATTTATTACTTTTAGCCTCATAAGGTGACAGGAAGAAAATTAATTGCACAATACTAGTTTTGTTTTAATCACAGTGGGGCCAGGGATGTAACTAAGTGGAATTGTGCAAATGTAATATGCCCAGGGCCCTAGGTAGCATTCCCAGTACTGAGAAAAAGGGTTTTGTGTGCATGTGTATGTATGTGGAGGCCAGAGGTCCACCTTGGGTATTCTAGAGAGCCATTCTAGTTTTTTAGATGGTTCTAATTTGTATCTGGGATTCACTGATTTAGACTGGGTTGGTTGACTGGTTAGTCTTAGGGGTTTGCCTGTCTCTGCTTCCCCAGTGCTGGAATTTTAAGCACACAGTAGGAACACCCTTGGCCATTTATTTTAGCTTTATATGTCTTCTTTTTAAAATATCCTTTTAACTGAAACAGAATTATTTCAACTTTCCCCTCTTTGTTCCCTCCAGCCCCTCTAATATATCCTCCAACCCTCTCTGTGGCCCCCTCAACTCTCAAGTTGATAGCCTCTTTTTCTTGTATTATTTTGTATTTTGACACAATTTATTATATTTCTATCATGTTGTTGTACTCTATAGTTCTGCCTCAGATTAAGACACTTCTAATACCTCTGTTTTAGAGATTCACGTGTGTGTGTGTGTGTGTGTGTGTGTGTGTGTGTGTGTGTATTTAGTTATATTGTTCTAATCTTGGTCCTTGCTAAATTTTTTAGGAAGCTTAAACCTTTGTACAACTAGGCTCCTGAGAATTACAGATATTTTCACCCACATTCTTAAATCTATGAAATTAGTTAGACATAGATTTTGATCTTCGATGTTACAGAGCGGAGAGAGTGAGGAGGCTGCGTCTGGCTCCCGCTCTCACAGCCATTGCAGTACATTGAGCTCCATAGAGACAGCGCCGGGGCAATCGGGAGCTGGACGGGCACTGGGCGACTCTGTGCCTCACGGACGAAAATCAACTAAACATGGGCAAAGGAGATCCTAAGAAGCCGAGAGGCAAAATGTCCTCATATGCATTCTTTGTGCAAACTTGCCGAGAGGAACACAAGAAGAAGCACCTGGATTTTTCTGTCAACTTCTCAGAGTTCTCAAAGAAGTGCTCAGAAAGGTGGAAGACCATGTCTGCTAAAGAAAAGGGGAAATTTGAGGATATGGCAAAGACTGACAAGGCTCGTTATGAAAGAGAAATGAAAACCTACATCCCCTCCAAAGGGGAGACCAAAAGGAAGTTTAAGGATCCCAATGCACCCAAGAGGCGTCCTTCGGCCTTCTTCTTGTTCTGTTCTGAGTATCGTCCAAGAATCAAAGGAGAACGCCCAGGCTTGTCCATTGGTGATGTTGCAAAGAAACTGGGAGAGATGTGGAACAACACTGCAGCAGAGGACAGGCAGCCCTATGAAAAGAAGGCTGCCAAGCTGAAGGAGAAGCACGAAAAGGGTATTGCTGCTTACAGAGCTAAAGGAAAACGGGATGCAGTGAAAAAGTGGGTGGTTAAGGCAGAAAAGAGCAAGAAAAAGAAGGAAGAGGAAGATGAGGAGGAGGAAGAAGATGATGATGAATAAGTTGGTTCTAGTGCAGTTTTTTTTGTCTATAAAGCATTTAAACCCCCTGTACACAACTCACTCCTTTTAAAGAAAAAAATTGAAATGTAAAAAAAAAAAAAAAAGATTTTGATCTTCAAACACTTCATAGACCTACTGAGTATGGCATTTAAATGTTTTAATATTAGTACTCTGTTGAAAATGAGACACATTTGCTCCTGATAGCACCAAGCTATTCCCAAGAAAATGTTGAGCACCGATGTCACTCCTCCTGGAGTCCACTGCTTCCTTGGCTAATGGCCTCTTGGGCAAAGAACTGCCCCCACTTCAACTGCTGACTTCAGACATGCTGTCCTACTGTGCTTGCAGGAGATAATTTAGAAGACTGCTAAACCTTGCCAAGTCAGGGTGAGACAGTCTTTCTACCTCCCTGCTTCTGTGTTGGTGAGTGAGATGAGTGAGTGAGGCCTTAGCCAATGTTGGTTGCCCCTACACTGCTGTGAGACTTTGGGTGACTGTCCAGGTAGCCTGCTGTTTCTGTCTTTGCTGCACCTTTGGAAGTTGCTCACCTGCACTTCCTGCCTACCCTAGTATTGTTAGCCTCCTTCTCAGGTCTTTGATAAGGTTGAAGATTAGGCTGTCACAATTACTGTTCTCGCTCCTTAGAAATATTAGATACAAGACTTAAACTTTCCAGCCTAGTACAGCTCTATAGAAATCTCTGTTACACCTTTACCTTAGGACTAGATAATGTAGTTCTTGCCATTTGCTCTTGTTGTTTTGCTGGCTTTAGATCTTGAGGGTGTATATTCATACTCTTCCTAGTGCATACTTGAATTTTGCCATCTTTGTATATAGTTTTGTATAAAGTGAATCTTTTCTTTAGACTAAAATTGAAATTGTAGGGAGAGATCTGTAAGCACCTGTGGTGCTGACCATGCCCATTTGGGCATGGCCACAGGTGCATAGGGGTTTGTGGGATAAAGAGCTGAGGAGAGGGGTGCTCCTCCTCTCACTGGGTTCGTGTCGGGTCTTGGAGGGCTGCTGAGATTAACCTGGGTCATTGGTTCCTCATATGAGTGATTTCCCCTTAATAAATTAACTATATCCATATTCTGTGTACGGTTATTTTCCTCCACACTCATCACGAGTTCTGACTAGTCTACCAGCCCCGATTCTCAATTGGGAGAGAAATAGAAGTAAGGAGAATTAAATGAACACAGAGATGAAAGGGTGCTAAGAATGTTACATAAAACATGCTTTTAAAAAAACTTTGTTTTTAGACATTTATTTATCATGTGAGCATGTAATGTATGACATGACACACATGTGGGAAGCAGAGGACAACTTGTGCAGGTTTGTTCTTCTTTGACCATGTAGGTTTTAGTGATCAAACTCAGGTCCTAAAGCTTGGTGGCAAGTGCTCTGAAATCATAGCCACTTTGCTGGCCCTTTCAGAATTTTTACATGTTTTTATCCTGTTATTTGTTTGGTGGGGAGGGGGTTACATGTGCCAGTGTCGAAGTGTGGAGAGCAGAGGACAGGTTGCAGGAGCTGATTGCTTCCTTCTACAATGCGGATTCCAGGTTGAAAACTTGTGGGATTTTTTCTTTTCTTTTCTTTTCTTTTATCTTAACACAAATGAGGTCAAGTAAAATTATGTAGATGCTTCTGAGCTTAAGGATTGTTCACATGGTTTCAAATAAAGTATAAAGATGTACAACTTTAGAGGTGGATACTTCTCCAGAAGTTGTGTGCTTTGTAGGTTTTAAGTTACAGAAGAACCCTGTATGAATATAGTTCACTTGTTCACAAACTGATAAATGTTTTGATTATTTTCAAGTGGAAAAATATATATTTATGCTATGCAACTTGATTTTATTATGAATGTACTGTGAAATGCATTAACTAAGCTGCAAATGTATTGCCTCTTAGTTCTCATGTTGAGAAGGCTTAGTCTTCCTAGCCATCTTCAGATCTATATTGTCATAAACTATAGTGGCCATGACACTTTTGCTTCTTACTACAGAGAAATTACAGATCTTTACTTGTGGACTAAAATTTTGCTATAATTGAGCCAACATATATCCCTGCCATTCACTCTTATGTTATTTTCTGAGAAATGTATTTTAACACCTTTTTAAAGTTGTTTTTCTGCTGAAGACTTGATTCCATATATGTTATCAGATGCATGATTTTCAAATATTCTCTACCAACTGGTAGGTTGTTGTCTTCAGTCTTGATCTTTCCTTTGCTGTCAAGATATTTTAAGTTTGAATTCCCATTTGTTAATCCCTGTGTTTTGGACTCGCCCCCAAAAGTTATTGCCAAGGTCAGTGACAAGCCACATTGCCTGTTTTCTTCTGATGTGTCTGTGTAATTTGCAGTCTAATGTTTAGGTCCTTAATTTAGTTTGAGTTGATTTTTGTATGTGGTGCGAGGTCAGAGTCTCATTTCCCCCTCTATATGGAGACACACATTTGATTTTCCCAACACCACTTACTAGGGAGATTTTTTCTCAGTTGTGTACTGTTGGCATCTTTGTTGTAAATATGTTGGTGTATTTCATGGATCTGTGTTCATATTTTTAAAGTAAATTGTTTTGTGAGAAGATATGGCAGGGCTGTTCATCCATTGGAGTAGAGACTAGACCTGTTTTTCTATCAAGAAGCAAGGACCTTATCTCTGCCCTTATTCAGAGGAGACTTAATCTCTATTAATAATTTAGAGAAACAAACGTTATTAATGGTTGTGGGAGAAATCTGACTCTAGCTTGTCTCTGCTGATCAAGAGCCAGTACTTCCTTCTAGAGTCTTCAGTGAGATAAATCTCAACAGCATCAGCAGTAGAGAGAGATTTGTTTCTAGCAGTTTAAGATGCTTGGTTATCTGTCAGGCACAAATAAGAGAGCTCGTAAATAAGCATGTCTGCACTTGGGTTCCTAAATTAAGAACCACAGAGGAGTGGTTTGTTAATGACTAAAAGCTGGTCATGAAAGCTACTTGCTGATTTTGGGTCACTTAAAAGTTGGCACCTTGCTCTGCTTTACAAAATGTATAATTAAAGTTATAAATTTTGGGTACACTATAATCTGTTATATGGTTAAGATATTCCTAAGCAGGAAAAATCATTACAGGTTGGCTAAGGAGTGATAATCTTGCAACTTTTCATTCTTGGGGTTCACTATTGAGAGTGCTCTGATAGAGTGTTAGTTAGAAATGGTGAGTTCATGGCTTGACTGAATAAATAATTCATACCGTACAAAAGAGGCCTTTTCTCTCCCCCAGTTCCTTTCTCCCCATTATGTTCACTTTCTCCCTTTCAAAAGGCCTCTTTACAGCCCAAGAGCAGCTCTGTGTGAATATGGAATGGCTTGGGCATGGTTTCAACCTCAGGCTTAGCTGAGTCTGGGGGTCACGTCAGAGAATGAAGAATGTCCTCAATGTGTATTCTGTAGCAGCAACTGAGAAAAATACACTAGTTGAAGTTTGGAGGCCCTCAAATCCTCATGATAGAAAAACACTCAACACTTCTAGCAAGATAGAGTTTTACTTTTCAAAAATATTTCAGTATACCTATTTTAAGAATTGTTTTATTTTAAACTTGAGTAAATCATTAGATTTTTCCTACTTTTTAAAAGAAACCTTTTACTACGTTAAATAAAATGTCTGGTAGAACATGGGATTTTAAATTTTCTTTAATTTTTAAAATCCTTTAATCTGTGACAAATTTGAAGATTTATAATGCTTATGTTGAATTCTAGCTTTCCTAACTTTCATCATACTACAAAGCAGGAAATCTGCCATATGCTCTTGTCTGCTCTGTAGTTCGTGACTCTCTCAGTGATTTGTTGGCAGAGGGCCCTTGCCTTCGTTGGGTATTTGCTGAGGACAACACTATTGGAGATGATGTTTACCCTTCATCAATAAACTTCACTCTCAGTTTTGGTTGGAAGTATATAATATCCAAAGCAGCAGTAGAAAGTGAAGTTTATATGAATTAAGCACTTTTCATGGTATGAGATGTTGGGATTTATTAACAGACATTTAAAGTCAATGAACTGTAATCTAAACTCCTATCAAAGGGAACTATTTGTGAATGGGAGTTCTGCTGGCTCTCCAATACACCATGCTTCATCAGTGTGTTTGTCCTTAAGGTTTTAAGTAAGATAAAATAGCGTGTTTGGTAGAATTCAGTACTCTATGCTCCATCATATATGAATTCCTCATATGATGTAGGCTACATAATACAGAACATGTAGGATACAAAGCTAATCTAAGTGCTGTATTTTCATAGAAGTAAAATCTGTCTGTTACCTACTTGCCTTTTTCTCAAACTTGAAGTACTGCCCTTATTTTCTTAGTACTTAATAATCTCTTCAATATTAACTTTAGAAATAATAGTAATTTTATGAGAGGTGATTTTAAATACTGAATCATGTTTCTTTTTTTAAATTAAATGAAACCATCAACAAGTCTTAAAACTTAGGCTCTACTGTGGTTTTTCCACAATTCTGTTTCAGTAGTCACTAAAACCAAATGTTCTGGAGTTTTACTGGACTTTAAATGCCGGTGGTGGTATTTTTGCAATTCATGTTTAAGGAATGTTTCACTTACTGCTGCATAGATGTCAGCCTTGAAATTTAGTGGCTCAAAACAACAATAATTTACTCTCATAATTTTGAGGGCTGTCTATATGATTCTTCTGCCTTTTGTGTTCTAGTGTGGGATGCTGGGAAGGGCAAGGCTCTTGTTCACTAGCTGGCTTGGAGTTGTTCACCACATGGCAAGGATCTCAGAGTGGTCCAGGGACAAAGGCAGAAGCTGCATCTTGTTTGTTTGTGTTACTCTGAATTTCTAATGATTATGCAAAAGGGTTTCAGGAATAATGACAGCAGACCCACCCCATGTGCCAAGGGAAGAGTCTAGAATCACTGGCCTCCTGTATGCAGGGCAAATTAAAGCCACACACCGAAGGTTTCCCTGCCCCAGTGACCCACCCTGTGACTTGGTATTCTAAGTTGGTGTTCCAGAAGATGGATGACTCCATTGTCCTTTCACAGAACAAATGGCAGCACTGACACTCAGGGTGGTCTCCTGTGTTATTCATCTCACTTATCAGAGGACACCTG